AAAAAAAAAAAAAAAAAAAGAAGGAAAACCAGTAGGTGCTAAGCAAAGGATATTAGGTCACAATGTTTCGGAGAACTTCTAGGGAATGAGCCACCCCTACCTCACAAAAAAAGACGACGACCCCACAGCATCTAAGGGGGTGCTAAGACACGGAAAGTAGGAAGATCGACACCACACACAAATCACCAAACCAAACGATTTTATAAAACTCTTAAAGTGGGGGCCATAGACAGCGGATATGTAAAAGTTACCCAAGGTAAAAGCAGAAAATAAAAGGTACAAAGGAAGACAAAAAGACCCTTTTCTGTTGGGAAACTATCAGAGTGCCAAGCTAACAAGGAAGTAGAAAGATATCCTTAAATTCAACATTAAAATATGCAAAAAAGGAAACGGTACCAAAAGGGGACACAAGGGTTGTCCAAGAAAATGGACCTCAGGAAGCACAGCCAGCTCAGCACCGGGGCGCTCCAGCGCGGCTGAGTGGACACAAAGAACCCAGAGAGCTAAAATAGTAGCTTTAGAAGAGCCCTAAGCCCACGCACTTAGGATGAAAGGCAACAAAACATTCTGAAATTTTGATCCAGATTCGTCCTAACTGAAGGCGAGTGGAAACCAAGCTTCAGAAGAGCTGTGTGCCAAATAACGCCTGAAACCAACCAGAAAACTTATATACGAGTCTGGCGTTTTCTTCCCAACGAAGGTCTCCAAAAGCCTCCTTAGTTTTAACAAGAATTCTCGGGAAACGTTAAAAAAGTGTAAGAAAGAAAGGAACAGTCTACCTTACAAATGTAAACTGAGTGCCTTCACTTTCTTCACAATTTTTAAGATCTGGGGTTTCTCCCCGCCACTAACAACTCAAAGGCTTGATAGCAGAGTCCAAACCATTTAAACCGGGCCCACGGAGTTCAAGGCCCTCCCCGCAGCGCCGGGGCCTATTTTCGGCCTTGCGGAATGGGGGAGGGGGCTGCGCGGCGTCCCGCAGTCTGGGAGGCCCCTGGCACGGGCAGCCCAACGCTGAAGAGAAGCCCGAGAACAAGAGATCCAGAGCCTGGGGCAAGGGTCCGGGAGCACGTCCCCCGCCGCCGCCCCTTCCCCGCCACTTAAGGGCCGAAAGCGGCAGCTGCGGGAAGGCCACCTCGGCCGCACGTGTGGTGGGG